CCCTGGTGAAGGACTGCATCAGCCCAGGAGAATTGGACTTTTTAATTTTTTTTTTTTAACTTTTTGGTTGTGCCATAAGGTATGTGGGATCTTAGTTCCCTAAGCAGGGAGCAAACCCACACCTCCTGCATTAGGAAGCACTGGACCATGGAGGAAGCCCTGAGAAATAAATGGCCTTTTTAATTCACAGAAAGGCATTGTCAGCTTTCTAAGAACATGAATTGGTGAGCCTGGGAGCCCAGAAAGGTCACTTTACTAACTTAGGCAGCTCTGGACCACATACTGAACTGAGAAGGGCTCCCAACTGAGTCCTTCATATTTGAGAAGCAGGAAAATTAGAGCAAAGACTGGAGCACTTTTTGAATAGTCTTCTGCTTTAAGTTGCTGTTCATTGATTAGGCAATCAAGGAATGGTAAGGCTTACTAGGAGTCCATATATTGAAAACTTAGAGCTCTAACAAGATATGGTGTTTTTTAGGTTCTCATTCTTTTATGAGAACATGAAAGAATATGTCCTTATATATGAGGACAAAATTAACTGGCTTAATCCTTGAGGCTTCACATGCTCAATTGGTTTTGCCCTGCTACTGTTGGATGATGATGATTATGGGGATTGGTTTACCTTTATTAATCAATGGCGCCACCTGGTGGCCAGAAATTACATTTTTGTGCCCATGCAGACCTCAGTCAGTTCAGTCGCTCAGTCGTGTCCAACTCTTTGCGACCCCATGAATCACAGCACGCCAGGCCTCCCTGTCCATCACCAACTCCCGGAGTTTACTTAAACTCATGCCCCTTGAGTCGGTGATGCCATCCAGCCATCTCATCCTCTGTCGTCCCCTTCTCCTCCTGCCCCCAATCCCTCCCAGCATCAGGGTCTTTTCCAGTGAGTCAACTCTTCGCATGAGGTGGCCAAAGTACTGGAGTTTCAGCTTCAGCATCAGTCCTTCCAATGAACACCCAGGACTGATCTCCTTTAGGATGGACTGGTTGGATCTCCTTGCAGTCCAAGAGTCTCAAGAGTCTTCTGCAACACCACAGTTCAAAAGCATCAATTTTTCGGCACTCAGCTTTCTTCACAGTCCAGCTCTCACATCCATACATGACCACTGGAAAAACCATAGCCTTGACTAGACGGACCTTTGTTGGCAAAGTATTGTCTCTGCTTTTTAATATGCTATCTAGGTTGGTCATAACTTTCCTTCCAAGGAGTGTCTTTTAATTTCATGGCTGCCATCACCATCTGCAGTGATTTTGGAGCCCAAAAAAAACAAAGTCTGACACTGTTTCCACTGTCTCCCCATCCATTTCCGACAAAGTGATGGGACCAGATGCCATGATCTTAGTTTTCTGAATGTTGAGCTTTAAGCCAACTTTTTCACTCTCCGCTTTACCTCACCAGCCTGTTTTTCTTTGACATAAATAACTTCAATAGCATTTGAGGCATTTTTATTACTGAAGTTTTGGAAAAATGCTTTGTTTGGTTTGTTGAAAACAAGAAAGTCATGGAATACTATAAATCCAACATGGCAAATCGAAATGACTCCTGTGTTCTCATTTTTTAAAATGATCTCCAGCAGGATCAGTTCAGTCACTCAGCCGTGTCCAATTCTTTGTGACTCCATGGACTGCAACATGCCAGGCTTCCTCCAACTCCTGGAACTTACTCAAATTCATGTCCATTGAGTCAGTGATGCCATCCAACCATCTCATCCTCTGTCGTCCCCTTCTCCTCCCGCCTTCAATCTTCCCCAGCCATCAAGGTCTTTTCAAATGAGTCAGTTATTTGCATCAAGTGGCCAGCAGGATATTAGGACCTAAATGATATGTAGTGAACAATTCCATATGACCAATGCAGGCGTGTCTGTCTGGTCTCCCTTCCTGTGTTTCACCTGGGTTATGACAGTCACTGGGACAGCTGGTGATTTCATTGCTCCTTCCATCTGACTCAGAGGGTGATCAGTCTCCTGCTTATTCTGTAGTTAAGGCATAGAGTGATTCTTAACTGAGGGGATCATGGTTGGGTCTTCCTAGAAAAGGTAAAAGTTCTCAAAAGGAAGATGTATTGCAATGAGATAACCTGAAAATATGGATGAATATATTAGAAAGTTGAAATTCTAAAATTCACTTTTGGAAAGCTGAATTTTGAAAGTTGAATTTTAAGGTGTTCTTTTTTTTAATTGGCAAGGAAAGTAAACCTAACCCCATTATCTCTTTGATTAATAGTATGATTTTGCAACAGCTTCATGGTGGGGTTTTTGCTCAGCCAATTTCTGTCTTTCTACTTTGTTTCTAAAAGTTTAGGTTGGCGAGCAGTAGCTGAATTTGAGTACAAGGGAAGAAAATGCAACTCAGAAGCTTATCAGGCTCAGCATAGTGATTCTGAGGTCAGGATTTCCTAATACGGACAACTTCCAGTGACCTCTTTTGGTTTAGAGAAATGTCTTAGTTTGCATAGGTATATTTCTGTATTAAAGAACAAGAATCAAAGACAAGATAGGAACTTGCTGTGAATCTGATGTTTAGGTAAATCTGCTTTCATTTCTGCACTCTTCTGCTCCCCCAGGCTTAAAGGAATATCCCTTTTGATTAATGAGGTAGCCTAAGAAGAGTATGTTTTTCTTCCTAACCCTGTCACTCTCATGAAAAAGTTAAATATTTGAATTCACAAAAGATGACTTATACAGGGAATGCATTCTGAATGGGGTCAGAGTGAGATTGAGTTCATTTTTCAACCTTAGATGAGGCTAAGTATAGTGTACAGTCAATATATTTTGTTAGTTTTGGAGATTTTTTTATTTGGTTGGAAGAATGCTCTCCAATGTGTGTTTGGATTAGTTTTGGATCTAAATTGCTTGTGATGGCCTCTGGCGAGATAGAACCTCTGCTGTGGCTCACAGAAGCTTAATGCCATATCCCACAGTATCTCACCGTGACTTACTGCCAGGGCTGGGTAGTTACAATGTACATGTCTAGACTCACATAGGTTCTTGGATCAGTGTCTCAGAGGTGTATAGTTTCAACAGTTGGGTGTGTATGTTTATGTCATCTATTAAGTTTGAAAAGCTGGCACCAATGTCCAAGTTTCTCTTTGTGCCTTTTTGAGCATGACTTCATAAATCCATGGGATGAAATTATATTTGTCCCATAATATTGTTAAGTGGAGATTGCATGGTACTAACTCAGTTCAGTCATGTCTGACTCTTTGCAACCGCATGGACTGTAGCCTTCCAGGCTCCTCTGTTCATGGGATTCTCCAGGCCAGAATATTGGAGTGGGTTACCATGCCCTTCTCCAGGAGATCTCCCTGATCCAGGGATCGAAACTGCATCTCTTACGTCTCCTGCATTGGCAGGCATGTTCTTTACCACTAGCGCCACCTGGGGAGTGCAAGTGGTTTGATGATCTCTGGCAAAATAGAACCTGTGCTGTGGCTCACAGAGGCTTAATGTCATCTACGGAATCTTGTAGTGGAGACTGGATCTGATAAAATGAATTTGGTCTTTTAATATGCCTTTCCTCTTTCCATTTCCCAGCTCCCACAGGAATTAGGATTGATTTTAGCTTTTATTGCCTTTTCCCTAAACTAAAATCCTATATGAAAAAAATCATCTTTAAAAAATTCATTAAGTATTTCTTGTCCCTTGTATGCCAAGTCCCTGGCTAAGTGGTGTGAGAGACAGAAAGACGATATCAGGTGTGGGCAGGCCCTGCCCACAAGGAGCCTTGAATCTAATGAAAAACAAAATGGTAGAAGGCAACAGTGAGTAACTGCTGTCTTATGTATTATTCAAAGGGAAAGAATGTTTCTTTCAAATGGAAAGTTTGGTAGGGGAGGAGGAATTTGAGATGAGCCTTGATGAATTATGAGTAGAATTTTTATATGCAGAGACAGAGAAAGGATTCAGAAGAAGGGTGCATTAAAGACAAAAAATATAGAGCCAGGGAACACATAGGAAGTGTTTAAGACATTGTGCAGAATCAAACTTTCATAAGAACCAAAGGCTGGTGTAAGGCAGTAGCAGGAAAGAAAACCAGAACAGTCAACAGGGACCATGTAGTGGGGTCTTGAAATTATAGGAAATGGGATTTGTTTTCATTTGATGGTTAAGTTATCCAGCATTTCTCCACAGAGAAGGAAGTGTCACTTTGAAATCCAGCAATATTCCTTGGTGGTAAAGACATTAAATATAGCCTATTGCCTTAACTTATTTTGTGTTGCAAGAGCTGCTGTGTACCATGTCGCTCGTTTATAGACCACCTTCATCCGGACCAGGGTTTCTTCACTGCAGCCCTGTTGACCAGGTCCTAATGTTGACATCAGGACGATCCTGTGCATCTGGAAGATGTTTAGCGGCATCTCTGGCCTCTCACCCCTCAATGCCGGCCTCTAGCCCCTCACCCAGTTGTGATAATCAGAAATATCTTCAGTCATTTTCAAATGTTTTGGGAGGGGGGGCAAAGTCACCCCTATTTGAGAACCACTGATCTAGACACACATATTGCATTTTTTTGGTATGTGTTCTGGCCATTATTAGACTCTTAAGATTGATGAATCTGAGTCCCTTAGGCTTTCAATATATTAATGCTTGAATTTTGGAACTAAACGTACATCTGATCTTGGGATTAAGGTATTTCCTGTGTGTTGGAGTAAAAGTGTTGAGCTGGTCATCGGCAGACCTGGATTCTGATCCTGGCTCTGCCACAAAGAGGTGGGATTACTTGGGTGAGACATGTCCTCAGTAGCCCGATTACTTATCTCTAAGATCACCAGTGCAACCTCTAGGCTCTTGCTTAGCTCTGATCCTGTGTCCTGATTTCAAATTGACCCCAGGGCTTTATTCTTTCATTTTTAGAAACTTAGCACAACCAGAATGAATGTGTATATTAACCAATAAGGCTGACTTATTGGTCTGACTAATAAGGCTGACTAATCTTTTTTTCCTTAGTGCTTTATTGTACTAAATACTATATATATATATTTTTTTTTCCTTTTCTAGATTATTTGAAAAATCTCTTAGAAGACTCTGAAGATTACAAAGACACTCAAGGTAAATTATTTCTGTGGTCTTATGTGTTAGAACTTTTTAATGTTACATTCATTTAGACCTAGAAAGTAAAAATGTAACAAAACCCATGTACAAAACTGTATTTTATTCATAAGAAGCCTTTTTAAACCTTATTTTGGGCAGATGAAGATAGTACTAGGTAAAGTGGTAGTGGCCTGGATGCAGGTGAAATTACAGGGACCAAAGATGCCCATGGTCAGGCAGCCATGGGAGCCCGCATCCTGAAAGGGTCGTCCCAGCGTAGAGTTTGGTCAGGAAGCTTCGTCCTTCTTGGCTCAGTCTGTCTGGGCCAGGGTGCGTTCACCTTCACTAAATGTATACCACTTTTGAAAGCAAAGATTGAACCAGTAAATCTGCAACGTCCTTTCAGGCTTTAAAATCATGAGTCCATGAAGTGACCAAACTATACAAATTAGAGGTAAGGTCTAAAATAATCTATTATTCTGGGACTGTTTAAAGATGGGCATTAGCTTTGCCATCCTTCCACCCCTTACCCCAGCAGTACTTAAGGGAAATAATCCAGTACAATACAAGGGATTCATTGATATTCATGGGATAATCCACTCTGTGTGTGTGTGTGCATGCACGCGTGTGCATGCAAGTATGTCTGTCTCCCTCTTTCTCTCTCTCTTTGACACACACACAAGGATTTAATTCCATTTGGGATAGTAGTGTTTTTTCCTCTTTACTCCCAAACTACGTCTTTTAAATGTCATGGGTATATTTCTGGTTCTAATCTACAGAAACACCCTAGACAAATCCATCTCCACTCCATTCATCATATGAATTTTGATCACGTTCTTGTGCATCCTCCTTTGCATTATCAGATTACAAAGCTGAAAGGTCTTTAACCCATTTTGTAGAGATTCTTATTCATTCTATGAATCATTTTACTTCTTTTTCTCTAACATCTTCTATTCACAAATGTTATGCTTTAAAGGGTGCTTTTTTAAAGGAAAAGATTGGAGTGGGTCTAGAACATGCCTCTTGTTTTTGATGAACTAATTTAGTTGAAGAAGGAAGTCTGTGATACCCTTCAGGTAAAGAACAAAGCGGATAGCTTTAAAGTAAGAATGCACTGAGCTGTATAGAATCATTTGGAAGAGGGAACAAAGTGTGAGAATTGAAGAGGCAAAGTTCTGCTTAGAGGAAAGTGGAACCAGAGATGAAATTGACTGGAGATGGTGGATGAGAGGAAGAGTGGACATCAGGAAGATAAATATTTTAGACAGATTTGAACAGATCAGGCCTCAAGAAAACATCTGTCCCAGGGCTTCTGCCTTCAAAGAAAGTTCATTGTTAGCTCCATTTTGCCAGTAAAACAGATGCAGGGCAGAGATTAAGGAGCTTATTTAAAGGAAATTACACACTTCAGCGAAGACATGGCTTAGAATAAGCAGTGAACAGTGACATGTACTGTATGGTCAGAGGCAATGCAGTACAGTGATGAGATTGCCCAAAGGTGAGGGAAAATGAGACTGTTGATAATATAGCTTTGGAAGGTGAGCAGAAGAGTTAAGGAACAGAGTCACACAGGGCCTTGTAAAGGGATGACATGGGAAAAGTGGGATTGCAGAATGGGTGGGAGAAGTCAGAGCCTGGAGGCCAGGTGACCAAATAGCAGCAGCTTTAGTATTCCATCCATTCATTAAATCTTAAAGCCTTTGTCCCTGTCTGCTAGGAGTTCAGGCAGGTCAGAAAGCAGGGAATGTGTCCAGGCTCACCTCTTGATATCTGCCATGAGGAGTGCCAACTGCAGTAAATTCTGCTATGTGGTTGGAGTCTCTATAAGAAGATACTGCTTTCCTTTAATAAAGGTGATGCCGACAAATTTATTTTTGGTTGCACTGGGTCTTCGTTGCTGCGAGTGGGCTTCCTCTAGTTGCGGTGAGCAGAGCTACTGTTTGTTGCGGTGAGCAGGCTGCTCATTGTGGCGGCTTCTCTTGTTGCAGAGCGCAGGCTGTAGGTGCTCAGGCTCCAGTAGCTGCAGTATACGGGCTCAGGAGTGGTGGCGCACGGGCTTACTGCTTTGCGACGTGTGGAATCTTCCCAGATCAGGCCTCGAGCCCGTGTTCCCTGCGTTAGCAGGTGGATTCTTATTCACTGTACTGCCAGGAAAGTCCAATAGTATGTTTAAGGGCTACAGAAACCTCCAGGGTTGATACCAGAAAGAGTATCCCTTGGAAGGTATAGTTAGTCCCTCAGTCGTGTCCAGCTCTTTGTGACCCCGTGGACCGTAGCCCAGCAGGCTCCTCTGTCCATGGGATTCTCCAGGCAAGAATACTGGAGTGGGTACCATTCCCTTCTCCAGGGGATCTTTCCAATCCATGGATCACATCTGGATCCTCCTGCATTATTGGCATACTCTTACCATCTGAGCCATCAGGGAATCCCAGTAGGTATAGTAGCTGGACCAAAAAAAAAAACCTCAAACACTTTCCAGAAATTGGTCTTTTTTAAAAAATATTCCTTTCGTTGATAATTACTGTCACTGCCACAGCAGGCTCAGGAGAGTATGCTTCCGTCTTAACACTCTACCAGTTTTTCTCTGTGGAAGTGCTGCTGTCACACGGGATGACTTTCTTTGTGTGGATTTGCTAATTAGCATTGCCGGATGTTTAACATCCCTGGCTCCTTCCCACTGAAGGCCAGTGGGCCCCCCCATCTTTGTGACAAACAAAAGTGATCTTACACATACCCAGGCCTTCTCTCGGGGAGTACTGCAGTCTTATATTGAGAACAGCCATGGCCCAAAAGGGGACAAGGGACACTTTTCCCTTTATATGTATAATGAAGATGGTAAGACTGAGACGTTCAGAAACATTGATAAAGGCAAGATATTAATAAAAAGAATAAAACACAGGTGAGGCTCAGAAACCCAACTCACAAAATAATGTGTGTAATTTCCTAAGATACAGAATGCTTCCATGTGGCTTTCTTCCCTCTTGGGATCAGACTAAGAGAAGACAGCTAAGCCCTGACCTTCTTAAATCGAAGGTTCTCATAATTCTGGTTTCCTATCCCAGGATCCTTGTCTGTCAAGGCAGCTTATCCTGGAATGGTCCTCAGCTTCCAGTTAAATCCTATTCAAATCCTTGTAGACTCAGCACAAATCTCAGTGCAAAACAATCCTGACTTCCCAACTATTGATATGCGTGGTCTATAAAGTGTCTTTTTTTGTTTTTGGCCAGGCTGCATGGTTATGGGATCTTGGCTCCCTAAGCAGAGGCTGAACCCATACTCCCTGTAATGGAAGTCCTAACCATTGGACTGCCAGGGAATTCCCTGTAATGTGTCTTCAGAGTCTGTCTTTGGCTCGTTTCTTTTCATCAGTACTGTTTTTGCCTGTTTTTCCTTGGTTTTGCTCTCATGGAACTTCACCATGTATATTTCTGCCCACTCACAGTTAACTGAGCTCTTCCACTAGTCGTCTTGTTACCTGGAGCTGCTCAGTGTTGCATTTCATTGGTAATGATAGTGATCAAATGCCCCTTCTGTTCCTACATATTTTAGATGCCCTTGCTGTTGTTATAGAGGTAGCCAACCACGCCAATGACACCATGAAGCAAGGAGTAAGTATCTTCATTTCAGTGGCTGTTGTACTGTTGTGCCTGGGAACTTATGCCTTCATATGCTCTTCATTCTCTTTCTGTAGGACAACTTCCAGAAACTTATGCAAATTCAGTACAGTTTAAATGGACACCATGAAATAGTTCAGCCTGGACGGGTAAGTGTTTTAGATTGCCTTTTACAAGCTTAATACAATGGATTTAGTCACCATTTGTAGCTGTTTTCACTTGAATTATGAAAATAGGTTTTTTGTTATTGTTAGTCTTCAGTGACCCAATCTGGATTAACTGCATTCAATCATTCTATCCTTTCAAAACATGCATGATTTAAGTCACAGTAACAGGAAATCCAATTCAATTAGGAGAATGGCAATGGACCCCACAGAGTATCTGATTAAATAGGCTCATTTTATTGTGTAATACTAGCTGACCTCACACAGCTTTAAAGACAATTTCATTTCAAATCATTAATGTAAGAGTGAATTTTGAGAGGAGGGGGAAAATTATTGGTGTTTTGATGCTCTTCCTGGAGCACAAAAGTGGCCGAGGGAATGAATTCAGGAAATTTACAAAGTGCAATTGTTAGGATGTTGGCTCAGCCTCGGGATGAAGTACACACTCAGTCAATTACATTTTAGACCACATGGTACCCCTGGGGTCAGTATTGGCTTTATAGAACTCTGCTGGCTTATCCAATTCCTATATGACTTTAAGGGTTTTAAAAGAAACCATGACTGTAAAAAGCTACAAGGAAACTATGCCACTCAGCCTTCACACAAAAAATCTGGGTAAAGAAGGTTGAAAAGGAAATTACATGTATACATATATTATAGTTGTGATGGTACTAAATGGGTGTTCGTTTGGATGAATCAGGTTTTTCTCAAAGAAGGAATTCTGATGAAGCTATCTCGGAAAGTCATGCAGCCCCGAATGTTTTTCCTGGTGAGTGGCCATGTGTATTTCTGTTGAGCCCAAGGCAGGGGTAATTCCTGAGTGAAAGGAGACCTTTGTTCAGGCCAGATAAGCTTGGCATGTTCAAATAGCAGTTTTAGTGGGATCTTTGACTGTCAGGAGTGCTTATTTGCATGTCAAGTATAGGAAACAAAGTCTTGTATGGTGCAGAACTAGAAATTTACTTCCTTTTTGAATCTAGTTTATTTCATCTCTGATTTGGAAAAATTGATTCTGTCAGTGTTTTGTTTTGGCAGATTATAGTTCCTTAGTGGGATTTAGAATTCAGAAAATGTCAAATTTCTTATAGAACTCGGAAAGAAAGCTCATTTTCCAGAAATTGCCTTCTAGTAATATTCTAATAGAACATTCTAGGTGGTTCTTATTTTATAAGCAGAATCTAAGTATTTTATTGAGAGAGTTTGAAGCAAAGAGGTAATGTTGTTCCTTTATTCCTGTGTCTTACCAATATCTTTGTAGCTAAAATTTCTTGCTTTACTTTGTCCTGTGAAATGTTTCTACTTTCAGTTTAATGATGCCCTGTTGTATACAACACCAGTGCAGTCTGGGATGTACAAACTGAACAACATGCTGTCACTGGCTGGAATGAAGGTCTGTGCATCTTTTAGAAGATACATATATCTTTTTTAACCCAGATGTATTTAGAGAAAAATCCCTACAGTGATCATCTTCTCATAATCCTTCTCTCTTCTGTCTCCATGTGTTCCTGTTCATGTGTTCACTTACTCATTTTTTCCCTCATATATTAATTTAGTTACAAGATATTTCCTGAGAACTGCTATAAAACAAAACATGTTAATGACTTAGTGAAAAATACAAAGATGAATTGAAGCAGGATTCTTTTGTCTCCACCTTTGCTCTAAACCCCCATGAGTTTAGCAACTAGTGGGGAAGCAAATACACTGCATGTCAACACCTATAAAGTAGATGGTAATAACTAATCACTATAAAGGCACAAAGTTTGTGGGAGCTCAGAAAATAAAGACAGTATAGCTTTTCATGGGACGTGGTGGAGGGATAGTTGGCAGTGAGAAAAGAGGTGAGACTTGAGGAAGTCTTTCTGGAGGAAGAGCCAAGAATCTTAACAGAGTAGGTCACATCTGGCCACACTGAGATGTGGGGAAAGGCATTCTTGGTAGAGGGAATAGTGTGAGCAAAGGCCTGAAGGTGGGAAAGTTGGGCCTTTGAGTATGTGGGTGTTTAAATTCATCTGGAGCAGAGAGCAGATGAGGGAGAGTAATGTAGATCAACCTGGATATGAAGGTTGGGGGTGGGTGTCAGCAGCAAGGGCACTGGACAGTTTTAACTGCACATCATAGATGAGGTTTTCCATAGGATGTGTCTGCTCAGTTTGTTTTGCTTTCTTCCAGGTCAGAAAACCCACCCAAGAAGCGTATCAGAATGAACTTAAGATCGAAAGTGTAGAACGTTCCTTCATCCTCTCAGCCAGGTACATTTTACAATTACGTATAAACATTTGCCAGTATTACAGGCTCAGATACCTGCAATATTTTTCACATTTAGGTTAACAACTAGATTTATTTTTCCCCCTTCTTTTCTCTCCTAATACCATGCAGATTACTTTTTCTTTTTTAAATTTATTTTTAGTAATTTATTTGACTGCGCCAGGTCTTAAATGCGACATGTGGGATCTAGTTCTCTTACCAGAGGAACGAGATCGCCCCCCTCAGCATTGGGAATGAGGAGTCTTATCCACTGGACCATCAGGGGAGTCCCCATGCAGTTTACTCTTGATTTACCATGTAGGGAGAATGTCTGAGAGCTGATGCAGAAGTATGCTAGGAGCACAAATATTAACATGTTCCTCTGCGTGCAGTAATAATGCTAAGAAGTGCTTTGCCAATAATTGTTTTTGAAGTGGATATTTCAAATCCTGCTACAGTGCTATGTAATGTTTTAAAAACATCTAGTGCAAAAAATAAATAAATAAATAAAATAAAAACATCTAGCACTTTATGTTTTACAAGGAAGTTTTCGTATAACAGTCCAAGGTCATAACAAATCTGTTGAGGTAGGTGTCATAAAAGTGAGGAAGACCAAGTACAGAGAAAAATGAGTTGTTTTCTTAAGGCTGCATTGCTGGCAAAGTCAGGATATGAATAGAACTTTTTTTGGTTTTAAATCTGTTGTTGTTATAATGCCACATTGCCTCCAATAGAAACCTACAGTGATTTATGTGTACAGCAAAATACGTGACCGTAATGTAAATCAAGTGCTGAGGAAATCTGAAACTGTGTGACTCATGCAGGTACATTATTCAGGTTTGGCTAAGTGCCAGGAGTGGATGTGGGGCAGGGTTTGACTGGTGAAGGGAGAAACGCCAACAGCCCCAGCTTACCCTACTGCCAGATCTGGATAACAAGTCTGGCTGGCTGTCAACTTCACCTTTGAGGTAATCAAAATAGCAGCAAGCCCTTACATGGTGCTTACTTTGTGCTCGGGACTATCCTGAGTACTTTCTGTATATTAATTCGTTAAATCTTCACAATAAATCTTTTAGGTGAGTTACCCATTTTATGGTGAAAAAAGTCAACCAGCTATTAAGTAGCAGAGCCAGTGAAGCTGAAATTTGGATCTGACACTAAAATTCATATTTTTTTTAAATTATTTTTATTTTTTTTATTTTTTATTAGTTGGAGGCTAATTACTTTACAATATTGTAGTGGTTTTTATCATACATTGACATAAAATTCATATTTTTAACTGTTCTAACATTGCCTATGTCCATGGATGTCAAGGCCTCAGACCAAATGTGCTGACTTCCCAAATCAGACCACGGGAGCAGCTCCCTGGGTCGTGTCACTCTTCTGAAATAGAAAGGCCACTGCTGTCTGATACTAAATCTCAGGATGACAGGAGTAGACAAATTCTTCTATTCCGGGTTTGTCACGTGCTTCCCAGCTCCTGGCTAGAGCAAGCAGAGCTCTGTCAAGGGAGGGAGGACTTGAAGCATCCTCCAGATCAGTATTTAAAATGTGAAAGTAGGGGACTTGCCTGGTGGCTCAGAGGTTAGGACTCCACGTTTTCACTGCCCAAGGCCCAGGTTCAGTACCCTGTCTGGGAACTAAGTTCCCATGAGCCGAACAGTGCAGTCAATTTTTTTTTTTTTTTAAAGAAAGTGAAAAAAAGTTTGACTGCCTGAAACTGTGCGATTTTTCCCCTTTCTTTTCATTCTTTCTTGAATTAGTACAAAAAATGCAAAGAACATCAAGTCCCTGTATATCAGGTTCCTGGTGAATACTTCAGCTTGGTTCTTAAAATCAAGAAATTTATTTTCAAAGATCCAAAGAGGAAATGCTTATAGAGATGTTAAATTTTCAATTGCACTTAAGTTTTCTAACTAAAATGTGCTTTGGTAAACAAATATTCTGTTTATTAAAAAATAAACAATTCAGAAAATGACGGTCAGTCTTTCTTTGGTTGCCTAGATGTTTTGTGTTTTCAGATCTGGCTCCTAAACTGATCTAGTAAGATCATTGAATTTTTAAGTGTGATGGGAAACTATCCAAAGGTTTTAAGCCAAGAATTGGTGTGGCCTCATTTTTCATTTTTAAGAAAGCACACTGTCTGTTCTGTAGAAGACAGACCACCAGAGACTAGAAGTAGAAGCTGGAAGACCAGGTAGGGGGCTGTCGATGGTGAGGTCTGGACTATGGTTAGACTGAGGTCTAGCCTTCAGTTAGATTTGATGGAGAAAGGGCAGTTAGGGATAGCCTCCCACAAGTCCTGTGTCTGCTGAGTTATGAAGGGTAAGTAGAAGTTGGATAGCTCGGCAAAGAGAAAAGGAGGACCCTCTTGGCCAGTAGGAGTTGTGTGTATGAAGATCCTGAGGTGGAAGGCGGCATGGCGTGTTCAGAGAACTGAAAAGCCCCTATATCTTGAACATAGCAAATGAGAGGGAGAGTGACCCGAGATAAACCTGAAGGGACAGGGAGAAGAATTATGCAGAACTGTATTGTGGATTTTGGTCTTTAGCCTAAGAGCCACAGGAAACCGCTGAAAGGTTTATACAAAGGAATGATGTGATCATATTGGCATTTTAAAAAGAATATCTAGTTACTCTGTGGAGAATAGTTTGAGAGGGAACTGAAGGAGATGAGTAATGGGACAGAGGAAATGAGAGCGGCAGTAAGATTGAGTCTTTAGCCTGGACAGTGTATCAGGTTGCTGTGGTAGGTAACTGGGAGCTTTGGGGAGAAAGCAGGAATTTAGGTTCAGATGTGAGTGTGGAAGATCCCCTGGAGGAGGAAATGGCAGCCCACTCCTGTATTCTTGCCTGGAAAATGCCACGGACAGAGGAGCCTGGTGGGCTATAGTCCATGGGGTCGCACAGGCGCACAGGTGCAGAGTGAACGTGAGGCGCCTATAAATCCTCGGTCAGCACGGAGGTGGTTTATGCCAGGAGCTGGATGTCAGGGGGACTGGACTAGAGGCATGTCCCGGGGAGTCATCCGTTTAGAGATGATGACCGAAGGTAGCAGACTGACTGGGGGTGCACAGGGAGACCACAGAATTCCCTGTTAAATCCTGTAATTCTTCAGTCCCACGTCAGTCGTCACCTCTGCAAAGCCTTCACTGCTACCCACATAAGGTAGTTTACTATTTCTGCATTACTTATCTACTTTCCCCTTCCTGTATTATATGGTAATTACTTGTTTTAGGGTCTCACCTCAGCTGGGTGTCAGCACTTGGATGTGAAGTGTACTTTTGTGCCCAGTTCACAGCATCATACCTGGCCCGTAGAAGGCTCCCAGTAAATGTTATTCAAGTGAACTGAAATGATGGGCCCTTTGGACCCCAGAGTAGCATCCCACAGTAACACAAGAAGGTCATAGTGCGTCAGGTCTAGCACACCAGAAATCCCTTCTATTGGAGAACTTTTTCCCTTAGAAATTCTTTCCAGTCAGTGGAGAAAAGGTGTTTGTTTGATGCAAATCTGCTTTCTGGTAATGTTCACATTCCATAAAGAAAAGAATACTTGGCTTAACTGTGTTTTCATAGGAGGAAGATGCTGATTCTTCTTTTAACCATGTCACAAAAGCAGGGCTAAAATGTCTACACTTGATGCTCGAGGCAAATGTGTGTGGTCTCTGAGACGTGTTTTATCAAGAGCTGATAAACATTGTTTTGGCAGAAGCCCACGCAAGAAAAAGCCAGGAATAATTAAATGAAAGAACAGCATATGTGACATGATTTGCAGCCGAATCACATTCCACATGCTCCCAGGGCTCCGGAAAAATCAGACAGCAATCCTCAAATTAGCCATCTGCCTCTCTGCTTTGTTACCTTTTCCAGTGAAAAGTTGGGGAAGGAGGGAAGGCAGGGGGGACAGTAATATTTTATGAATGTTTACCCAGAATCTGGGCCCTGTTCTCATAGCATAACTCTTCAGAGAACAGGAACAGAGGCTAGAGATGACCTGGTGGTGAAGGGTTCCATCCTCAGCCACACTTAGGTCTGATACCAAGTCACCGTTTAATAAAGCAGCCTGTTATCTAAGGCATTGCAAGTGATGCAGTGGTATAGAATCTGCCTGCCGATGCAAGACATATGGGTTTGATCCCTGGGTCGGGAAGATCCGTTGGGAAGGAAATGGCAACCCATTCCAGTATTTTTGTCTAGAGAATCCTATGGACAGAGGAGCCTGGTGGGCTCCAGTCCGTGGGGTCACAGAGAGTCAGACATGACTGAGCACTTGACCATCCTGAGCATCATATTATCTAAAGCAAATTATCTAACGGTTCAAATCTTCACATTGCTTTTCTATAGATGGAGATGGTGTGTGAAATTGGGATTGGGGGAAAGAGATATTCCTCAGAGGATATGAGGTGTGATGGCATTTGCACAGAGAGCAATCAGCACAGTTGGCTGATAGGTGGTAAATGTTAAATTAGCGGCAGCTAGTTGGGACAGTGATGGTGGAATAGTAGGGGTAACTGAGGTGGGTTTTGTTTGCTTTAGAGAGATAAGGGCTATTTCTGTTTTATTTTGGTTTTGATATATAATGAAACTTTGAAAATATACTAGTTTTAAACTAATTTTAAACTAGTTTTAAAACTAATATACTAGTTTTAAATTTTTGTTTGTAAATTGGGTGCCTTCCTTTTAACATCTGTATGAATGCATTTTCTAAACGGTATTGAAGCCATTTAGTTGGAAGGTTCATTTCTGAGAATGATTATGGTGGGGTAGGTTAAAGTATCTCCTTGATGTGCTCTGGATTCATCAAAATATGCCTAATTGTATAATTTTTTATGATGGAATTTTTCCTTTCAAAGTAATTACTTGAAAGTCACATACTTAGAATGAGGACTACAACGAACCTGCATATTTGGTCACTAAGACTCAAAAAATTACCAAGGTTCTGCCACAGATTTTCCTTTTTTCTAAAAGTACTTTAAAACAAATGGCAAATATCAGGTCATTTTACTCCTGCATACTTGAGTATGCTTCTCTTAAAAATAAGAAAATGCACATTTTCTTACACAGTAACATTCCCATTATTATAATGGATTTTTATTATGATAAAATTTTACATTTACTATTAAATTCTCTTTCTCTCTACAAAGATACACACATACACACACACAGCTAAAATGTGTCTCCCCTCCTGAGTTTGCAAAACAAATGCACTGATACCAGTGATGATTCTGAGTTACCATAGAATTTTTTTAGAGGGCCTCTTTGCAAAAACGTAGAACAAGAATGCATTTTTCTGTTTGGCCCATTTCTGTCTATATCTGAGTCACACACTTTCTGATGAACTGAGGGTAAGAACAGAAAACGTGATGGGCTGAATTGGTAGAGGAGCCCTGACAACCACTGGGGTCTCTCCCTTATTAACCACGCCTTCAGCTTCTGTTAATGACATAAAAAATATGCTTCCTTTACTCTAATGCCCTTTCTAGAGTATTTAGTAACCCCAAAATATTTAGTATTGTGTTGTAAATTTGGATTTGAAACTTGATTCCTTGGAATATTTTTAAAATCTCAGATTATATCTCAGGAAGCTCCTTGGTTATATAAGTAATCATAATTATTAATTGCATGAATAGCCCTTAAATTGAACAAAAATACCTCCAAATTTAGGAGACTTCAAAAGCCATTCAGTTTTAGAAGGTGGTATCTTTGGAAAGAAGAAAAGTGTTGTGTTTGCTAAAATGCCATGCGTTCTTTATATGCCCACTGGTTATCTGTGCCCAGAAACCTCCAAGTTGTTGCCTGTGACTCACATTGTTGGAGGGTGGTGGAATCTGTTGCCATGGCAGAAGGAAAAAAAAGTAAGAAAAAGGCAAAGAATAAGAGCTGACATCTGGCTGATAGAACCTCTTTTGCCCCCAACAGTTCTGCCCCAGAAAGGGATGAATGGCTCGAAGCCATTTCCAGGTCAATAGAAGAGTATGCCAAGAAAAGAATCACATTCTGTCCTAGTCGGAGTCTTGATGAGGTATTGTCTTTTCCTTCATGTATTTTTTAAGTGCATTTCAAACCATTTTCACCTTAAAGAAACTTTTCCCAGGGGTTTAGAAAAGCAGTGTATGCTTCACAGAAGGATTGGGTATGTGCATAATTTCAGCCTAAATGTTTATTCTATTAATGTCTCCCTACAAGTCTAGGATAGCATATAGTGCATTCATATTTTTTCTGGTTATAAAACCTCACTGTAGAAAACACAGCAGTGTAGTTTGAGGAAGGAACTAATCAGCTGTCATTGCGCTACCACCGGCAATGGTAATACAGTTTTGCACTAGAGGATTGTTGGAATGTAGCTAATCTTAACATCCTGAGAAGATGAAAAGTACGATTGTTCCTGTGTCATCCACATCCTTAATGATACCATCAGCATTGTGAGCTGCCAGTGCGAAATAAAAAGGTTTGAGCTGTAGCAGGCAGTGTGCCTAGAAATAATCAGAAGTCATTCTTCTACAGGCTGACTCAGAAAGTAAAGACGAGGTTAGTCCTCTTGGATCTAAGGCCCCCATCTGGATTCCTGATACCAGGGCCACCATGTGTATGATCTGCACCAGTGAATTTACTCTGACCTGGAGACGACATCACTGCCGGGCCTGTGGAAAGGTTGGAAAGAATCACAACCCTTCCCTTGTGATCTTCAATAGCTCCACGCTGTACATGGAAAGAAGTGTATTTCCCCTTGTAAACCATTTTAGGGTAGGGAGGGGAGAGATACTGACTCATGACTGGTACCCCCCCTAAACATTTAGCATGAGGCAATCTTGTTAGGGAACTTAACTCCTTCTACCCCAAGATTACTTTAGGATGTCAATAATAGAACATGTTCATTTAAAAAAAAAAAAATAACTAACAAATTGACAATTAAATAGATGCTCACATTTATAATTATTGAAACTACATTTGTCCCAATACTACATTCTTAACAGGAGGGAACTTTCAGTATTGAAGTTACCATTTGTGATGTTTCTAAGTTTTCATAACATTATCAGTAAAATATGCATAGTAACAATGAAATCAGAGAGTGACTGTAAAGATTCAATGGACGTCATTTAGAGAGCATTTAATACAGGCCGGACACTAGGAAGAGGTACAACGAGGTATTCATGGTTAGCAGTGATGCTGGCAACGACAGTGATGATGGTACAGCTAATATAGGGCTTACTACCCACCAGGCAGTGTTCTAAACATTTTGCACCTGTTAACTCTATTAGTGTGTTCTTATCTGTCATAAGCAATCAGTGATAATCTGTGGCCTCTTAAATGTGCTATTGTATGTGAGTTCCCTGCATACCTCTGCTGAGTTGTTATTGAGACTCAATGACTATGAAAAGGTTTTGAAAAGTAGACTGGGCTATAAATTGTAACTGATGGTTTAGATACAAAGGTTATTCTAAATGAAATGAAATAATTCCAACGTGTTTGCAGATTGTATGCCAAGCTTGTTCATCAAATAAGTATGGCTTAGATTACCTGAAAAATCAACCAGCAAGAGTATGTGAACACTGTTTCCAAGAACTGCAGAAATTAGGTAATGTATAAGTACAGATTTAACTGAAAATTCCTTTATGCCCCAGATGCTTGCAAAAAACCTTCTAGAAGAATCGTCATAGGGCCCATTAGCAATATAATTGGTGATACTTATCTCAAAATATTAAGTATTTTGCTTTCTTAACTTAGTTAAGCTTTCTTTTTCTTTCTTTTTAAAAAATTTTTTTATTTTTCATTGGAGGATAATTACTTTACAGTATTGTGCAAGTTACTGCATACATCAATATGAATCAGCCATAGGTATACATATGTCCCTCCCTCTGGAGCCTCCCTCCCATTTCCCACCCCTCTAGGTGTCACATAGCACTGGGTAGTTAAACTTTCTTCACTCATATTTTATGATGATTCCAGGAAAGGTTGGATTAAAACTTATTTTTATTCTGAAAAGGGCTTTGCTAAGGATTCTAGTTGTAGAAGTATAATCACAGGATGAAATGCTTAGAACAGTTACAAGGGAACTTTAGCTTCTAAGTAATTTTCAAGTTTCTAGTTTCACATCTATGTGTATTACAAATCATTTTTATCAATCAGTCAAGTAGTTCTCTATGAAAACATACCAAGTGGCACTTTGTTAGCCTTATTCTAATCACTTGGACTGATGTGTGAGGTTTTATTCTACATCTAAATGTGTAGCTTTTTACCAGGTACAAAATGAGCTATATCTGCCTGCAAGTATCCATTCCTCCAGTGAAGATGAATGCAGCTCAGGTCTACATTTTGAGAAAAGATCCTTAGTTAAAATTCCTGAAACTTAGAGGATCTAGGGCTTTGAAACTTGGCGATGAAGAATAGCTTTTTATTAGCAGATCAGAATGTCTAAGTGAATAAAACTGGATGACATGCTATTTCAAAATCCAAACATTAATAGAGGAATTGTCTGTTATTTTCTCTACACATTTTCCAAAAAGAAACATTCACCTGATCTTCTGCCAGCCTTATGTTCCTGCCTTTGTTCTCTGAATATCTAATATCGGCTCAGACATTCAAAATCCATTGTTGAATACTCTTTTCATCACCCATTTGGTCAATAAATCTTGTCAAATTTATCTTTGAAAAATCTGTCCTGTTCTTGACTTCTTTATCTCCACCCTAACAAAGCCTTCATTATCTTTCACCTGGACTACTGTCCTAATTTCCTAACAGGTTTTTCTCTTGCAAATCCTTCCCCTTTCCTACTGTCAGATTTAGTTTTCTAAATTGAGTCTACTTCCCAGCCCAGAAGGCTTTTGATTTCCCACTGCCTAAAAGACAGTCCTTAGAACCAGTCCTCTTTTTTCCAGCTTCACCTCCAAATAGATGATCTAATTTCATATCTCTGTGCTTTTGCTTATGCTGACTTTTCTTCTTGAAGTGTTCTTCCTCCTCTTTTTTGCTTGCCAGACTCCTTCTTATACCTTGATGCCAACTCAAAACTCTCATTCTTTTCCCAGCTTTCTTTGAACCTCTGCAGTCAAAATTAATTACTGCCTCCTCTTGCCTTATAGTGTCTTTTCGAAAATTTTATTCATTGTAATGTTATTTGGTCATGTATTTAAATACTAAATGATGTTGTTAGTTTTTTGTTTAAGTCAGGAGAGAAGTTTTCTCAATTTAATTTTTTAAGTTGGTAGTACATGAACATATTTCAGAATTCTAAAGGCATAAAGGGCCAATTCTTTCATATGGTTTGCAGTTGAAAAAAGTGAAAAATAGACAGTGGAAAGTCTTCCTCCCACTCAACCACCCCCCCCACCCTCCCCACCCCCCCACCCTCCCCACCCACCCCCACCCCCAACCCCACCCCCACCCCCCCGTTTGGCTTCCTTTCCCAAGGGCCTCAGTGACACAAGTTTCTTAAGTATCCTTCCATGGATATTTTGGGCAACAGTGTTTATTGTTTTGGATTAAATTGAATTGCAGAATGTTTACGGTTGGTTCCATAAGTGTACCTGGTTTGTTTTAGATCACCAGCACTCTCCTAAGTTTGGATCCCCTGGAAATCACAAATCTCCTTCCAGCGCCTTATCATCAGTCTTACATAGTATTCCATCAGGGAGGAAACAGAAAAAAATCCCAGCTGCTCTTAAAGAAGTAAGTGTTTCCATTAAACTTGCAACTTGATAGAGGCTGAATTATTCATACCCAGATAGTACTTTAGTTTTTCTCTCATAAAGGAAGATGTCATTTCCCACCACTGTTAAGACATGCATTTTAATACTGAAGATGAATGTGGCTGAGGCCTCCCTTATCTCCCTTATGACCTGAGTCATTTAGAAAATGACTGTTGAAAGGTTTGGAAAGCATTTTATAGCAGTGATAGAAAGTAAAGATAACTTGGACTCGTGTTAATTTTTAAAATTACTTTGAGGAGACCCCTTATCAGAGGAAAAAAGTCTATAAACTATTGGGGGCATTTTGTTAGCATTTACTCATCTGCATGGCTTATTTTTTTTTAGGCATTATTAGGTTATATACAACTGATACAATAGGTTGTTTACTGATAGTAGGTTGTTCTTCCTTCAACTTAACAGAAAACATTTTTAAGTTTTAATAACCTACAAAGTTTGGCCTGCCCCTGGAGTATATCCATAGGCATCACTGATATCCTGTCCCAGCTCCTCAAAGTCAAGTGGTAAACCAGTCAGTGTCAAGAGATCAAATAGTCCTGACTTTCTAGTCGCTCCTATTTTGGTTAGTTTATTAATTGGTTTTGTGCCCCGGAAAGTAGCGTTCTAAATTTTGTTCTCTTGCTTATTTGCTGTGGAGGTGTTCCATCATGAAAAGTGGAAGAAAGGAACTCTAAAAATTTGACCAAGATCATGTTCCTTATGTAAAGTTGAGCACATTTCCTCATGGCTGTTGAAACTCTAGGAGTGATTTATAGCCAGGCTCATGAAATAGTAAGAATAGGATTTACAGTTCCATTTGCCAAGTTCCATGTAGAACTGGATAAGCCAGCTAAGTGAATACCTCTCAACTCTTTTTCTTCTGTCACGCAGTTCCTGAATCTAAGTCTGCATTGAAAAACTTTGAAGTTTTTAGCCAACTGAAGTAATTTTCAGTTCCTTGTAACTTTTCACTTCTCCACGTTGATGTCACTGTTTATAAATATAATTCCGACACACGCTCCCCTTTAGTCAGAACTCCACAGAGTTTTTGGCTACAAAAACTATGGTCTATAGACTAGACTCAACCTTATTCCAGTCCTCTTTTGTACATCTTTCTACCCAACCACACAAACAGGCCTTCCACTTTCAAACCTCTGCTTTCTCCCCTGACTCCGCTGGTTCTCAGAGTGTCCTCCAGAGTGGCAGCAGAACCACCATGGAACTTGCTCGAAATGCACATTCTTGGGCCCAAGCATCCTCAGTGATTCAGGTGTATGTCTACTGAAGTTTGAAAACCATTGCTTTGCTCCTCTGTGGCCACACAGGGGAAATCAGTTTTTCCAATTAAGCTCTGTACAAGTCATAGTAGTCTCCTTGGAAACCTGTGTTTTTTTGTCTTTTGTTTTAAACAGGGATGAAATCCACATAACATGTAGTTAACTGTTTAAAGATATACAATTCAGTGGTATTTGGTGTATTCACAGTGATGTGTGACTGCTCTATTGCTCCAGTTTCAAAACTTTTTCATCACCTCATAAGAACACCCTGTGTGTGTTAAATAACCGTTCCCCACCCCCACCCCCTGGCAACCATGAATCTGCTCTATGTATTCGTTTGTTCAGGATCTGTCATGTAAAAGGAGTCATGCAATATATGATCCTGAATGTTTGGCTTCTTTCACTTGGCGCAATCTTTTTGAGGTTCAGCCAAGTTATAGAATATCAGCACTTTCTTTTTTGTGTCTGAATAGTACTCCTTTTTAGATATATGTCACAACTTAGCCATTTATCTGTTGATGGACACAGGTTTCCACCTTTTGGCTATTGTGAATAATGCTGATGTAAAACATTGGTATACAGATTTCCATGTGGACTTATGTTTCCATTTGTCTTGGTTATATAACTGGGAGTGAAATTGCTTGATCATATAATAATCCATGTTTAACTTTTTAAGGAATTGGAAACTTTTTTCTTATTCCATTGATGTTCAGTACATTTTTAGAAATTCATCTTTTAGAATTGCATACATTCAAAACTTCAGTACCCTCAGTAATGACAGACTGTGTCTCTTGAATTGACCATTTCATTTATTTTTTAAATAAATCATTAGAATGAAAGTCTTGTGAATCAATTAGGTGATTAAGCTGGTTTAACACTAATTTTTCTTTTCTTTTTTTTAATTTTCTTTTAAAAAGATAATAGAGGACTATGTATGATTATTTAGTATTGTGATTAGTCTTATATGGCTATTAAATTAATTGTAAAACATTCCAAAAGAGCAATGTACAAAATATTTTGGGCAATGATAGTAACACAACCTAAGTACATCGTATCAGTAGTATCACAACGTAACTGCATTTTAAGAGAAACCTCCTTTGAATGTAAGTGTTGTAGTTTTCCTTTTTTTAAATTACTTGGTAGTCTTATATAGGATGTTATTTCTGTATACAGATTTACTTGCACTTAACAGACATTTTAATTTAACATTAGATATAAATTTTCCACTTGGGACTTTGCTGGCAATCCAGTGATTAAACTCTGAGCTCCCAATTCAGGGAGCAGGGGTTTGATCCCTTTCCAGGGAGCTAAGATTTCTACAAGCTGCATGACCCCCTCCCTCCAAAAATAGAATTTCCTATTTACTTATCTGTTGATATAATTTGTAGAAATCCAAAGTTATCTCAGAAACAAAGTTAAAGGTTTAAGTAATTTTCCCTAACACCCCTAAATGAGAGCAATAAACAACATATACTGTCCCCAGAACACAGCTTTAAAAAGGCATTTTTTGTCATTTGAAATTATTATTCATCTCCTGGGAACTCAGAAAACATAGTGGAACCCACTAAGAAACCTATACATGCAAGCACAGGTAAACCAGGTAAAATTCTGGAATTGCTTCTAAAAGGAAGGATTTTATGCTCATGGTAATGGCAATATTCAATCTGTACAGTAGCAGATTTTAAATATAAACAGTTTCATTCTTTTTTTTTTTTAGTTTTTTTTTTAGTTTCATTCTTAAACATGATATTTTTATGGTTATTGCTTTCAGCATCAATGATCAAAAACAATTTTGTTATTTAAAATTTTGGTTTTGTCTAAAAACGATTAAACTGTGTATGGGATTTGCTTATTTAGGTATCAGCAAACACAGAAGATTCCTCTATGAGTGGCTACTTATACAGATCAAAGGGCAATAAAAAACCTTGGAAACACTTGTGGTTCGTCATAAAAAATAAAGTACTATATACATATGCTGCAAGTGAGGTAAGATCTGAAATGGAAACATGAATAATTTGGAGTCTTGTTTTATAGTGCCACCTGGAAATAATCAGTGTTTGCCTAATCTACTTGTCTACGTTTTTGCTTTTGCTTTGCTTTGACAGGGGGAGATATTACAGTTGTTTTTGACATGAACAGTGTCCTTGTTTTGTACCTAAAGATACTCCAAGATGTTAGGAATTTTCCGTAGTGTTAAAATGTTAAGTTTGGGGGATATAATGTGACTACTGACTACTTCACTAAAGGCAGAAGTTTGGTGACACTGGAGTATGTCACCTTTCTGACCTGTGTTTTTTGCATCCATAAAATGAAAGTAATGTAATTACTCACTTCCCATGGTTGTAGGGAAATAACGTGAAATCAGTGAATATGAACACATTGAAAACTGTCTACTGCAGTGTCTGTCTGATGGGTGGGGAGGGGGTGGCCCAATAAATATTGTTGAATAAATGAAAAATGAATTAGTTGCTAGAATTACCATTGTTTCATATATGTGTGTTTGTTTGAAATTAAATTAGAGCTTTGCAGATAAAAAGTTGCAGGTCTGAATTTTTTATCATTTTAAAAGTCCATCTTCCTTTGTGTCTTTGTAAATTTAGGACGTGGCAGCTTTGGAGAGTCAACCTTTACTAGGATTCACAGTCACTCAAGTCAAAGATGAGAATTCAGAGTCTAGAGTGTTTCAGTTACTGCACAAAAACATGCTATTTTATGTATTCAAAGCAGATGATGCTCACTCAGCTCAGAAGTAAGTAATTTAGGCTTTTTTTTTCATACATGAGATTTCAAATTGTTACTTTAAATGATTGATTTTAAAAATAACCTACTTCCATGCATGGGATCAACAAAGAATGTAAATCAGAAATCCCATTTAGAAAGATTTAACATATTATTCAAACTCTTTAGAATTGTTTTAAAGATAGGCAAGAGGATCTGGAATATTTTCAGGAAGCAGAGAGGAAAAGAAAATAGGTAGTTCTGTCCAAAATATTTTGTGTACACATGACCTCCGAGGAAGCAGCATGAAGCTGCTCTGCTGAAAGGACGGGATGCGGAGGTATTTGACCTCTCCTCCAATGAGGTGAAGAATTTTCTCTTGAAACATTCTGGGATTTTGGCAATCCTGTGAGTCAGTCGTGCCATGGAATGGCAGGAGCTTAAACAGCTGCTTGCTAACTTACATCTTTGGGGAGAAGGTCAAACACATTAAGAGTCTCCTGTATTATTCCCAGTGACTGAGTAGAAGGAAATGTATATCATTTTAGATGGAAGTGGTTGAAAGAGTCTCTTCAAAATTCCAACAAGAATATTTATTTAGATGTCATGAGATTGCTTAACATAGAGAAGAGTATCTCTGTGAAATTGAGGTCCTCTGTGAACAAAACAATTCAGTTCACCTCCCTTTCACTAGATTTTTATTTTGGCCTCACAAAATATGCAGTTTTACTTTCACTAAGTGGTCCTCATGTTTTCTCACTAGGCTCTCAAAGTACAGGCAAATCTAAAAGAATGCTTTCAGTAAGGCTTGTCTTTTACTAAGGTAATTACAACTAATGTATCAGAATTAAACATGTTCCCCCTCAATAATAATCAGATACTATATTACAAATACTCTATAAGCCTTTTTTTTCAGTCTGTATTAGGATTTCCAACCATATATAGCTGTTAATCAAAGGGTACTGAAGAATAATTTAAAATTATGACATGGCTATTTTTTCTTTAAAAAATAGTTATTTGGATAAAATAGTAATTGCCTACAATTCTTTAGATATTATATTTCTCATCATTTTCATTTGTGTTCATGAACAAGCTGTTGAACTTTTGAATATGTATCTTTTCCTTATATAGTTGACAAGATAGAAATCCCTTCAAGAGAGTTGAATGTAGTTGGATGAGAAGAATCAGCTTACTTGTTATTTAGAATTAATACAGGCTAATTTATAAATTTCTTTGAGTTTATTAATATCACATGGGTTGCTATATTTTCACATTATAGAATATTAAAATGTGTTAATTTTAAAGAAAACTTGACTTTAAAAAAATCTTTTTATTTATTATGGTATAACTTATATGCCATTTGCATTTTAAATTGACCATTAAAAAAAGAGATGCACTCTTCAGGCCAAATTTTGGTCCAAGTTACCAGATAAAGGGTAGTTTCATACATACAAAATTCTCGTTTGCTATAGAAAAGACCTTAAATATACTGTTAGAGTAATTGGATCCAAGGGAATATCTGTGGTCTATAGTATTCTTACCATATGTTGGATGACTTCATCTTACAAATCTAACAAATTTCTCTTACAGGTGGATAGAAGCATTTCAAGAAGGCACAATATTGTAGTTGTGTTGGTTTCATCTCGTGTGATTCCAAAAGGGTGGAATTTCATCAGAATAAATGCAGTACAAATATTTTATATAAACGAACAATGCCAAGACGAATCCAACTAAAGTCTTCATCTGAGAAATTATTTTATTAGGTATAAGGTAATTTTAAAAAAATGTTTGTTTTTCATGTATGTTATTTATTAAAATTTTAATGTTTACTTAATGGTCAGAGTTATTTCTGAGACTCACACTGTATGCTAAAGTACCTTTTCTTTAGAAACCAGAAAACTTATCTTAATAACCTTATTAGCTGTTTGTGACACAGTCCATCCTGCTTTCTCAGTGTGTTTTACAGTGTTACTTTGTAACATTCTCACCAGTGGTAAGTCATGGTAAATAAAAAACACACATCAAGGAGTGAATTTCTATACAGTCTTTGGATTGGAAATTATGATTAAACAGCTGATGAGAAAAATGTATGTCTTTGAATCCATACATTTAGATGAAGTTTTGTATCTTTTAATGGAAAAACACATGGCCAATTTCTACCTCAGTAACTGAAACAAAATTCCAGTAAATTGTCTAAAGTATTTCTACTGTTACGTATCTCTTGTGCCATGAGATAATGTTATATCATCAAGGAATTACAGCAAAGGGATAGAATCTGAATTTTCATTTAACTCAATTGTGAGTAGGAAAAAGAATATTTCCATTTTCAGGGTAACACAAATAATTAACCCTATGGCCTTTACATTATGTCTGATCTTTGAAAAAGAAAAAAAAACTACCATTTCAACACAAATATATTATTTCTTTAAAAAGCAAAATATGGCAAGTATTATATTATATAATGTCCCTTGCTCTTCTAAGTGTTCTGAGCCCAAAGTAGTAGAGAGGTATTTGTATATAAAAAGAATGTTACATTTTCTATAATATTGTGATTTTTTAAATGAACTGGAATTACCATATCAAAAAGCACAGATTCTAAGCCAGTATTAGAAATTGTATAGTAATCATTTTAAAAGATTTTTAAATACCACTTTGTGTTATGTCCTCTCTGGTAATTAAAGTATATTTTTTTATATTTTTCTTTAATCAGCTGTCAGCATACCTCATTAGGAAGGACTTATATTCCTATTTTGGTTCACGTATTGTTTAAACATATGAACTGCTTTATACATAAAATTGATGAGAAGTAAAATGAAATTAACACTATGATTAAAGTCATTCTTGATGTTCATAATATAAATTTGTTGACTGAGCTTAAATGAAATATGAAGTATCTTCAAAGGCAAGAAATTTCTTTGAATAAAAGGCACAAGAAATTTCCATTCTGCTGTTATATAAAGAATTTCCTAATTCAGTATTATCTCTGATTGCCAAGAGAATTACTGAGTGCCTTCTGAAACCCTTTGAATGTTTGTTGCAGCACCAGGGTCTCTACATCTAGAGTTTGACTACTGTAGTTTTCTGGCTATTTCTTGCTGTAGAATCATTTTAAACCCTCTTGCAACCTCACATATAGTCCTTACATGTTAACTTCCAAGTCTTTCTGTTAGCTGTAGGTAAATAACATTTCTTTGCATCTCATTAACTTTAACCAAGATAGCATCAATAAGCCTTCCATGTTAAAATCCCTGCAGTCTTAGTGTGTCCTTTTTTGAGACTAAGGTCATGCCTTAGGAAGTGTTTCCCTTGGTTTCACAGGACCAGCATTTTGTAAAACAAGTTACTGGGGTTCCTCTCTCCTGCTCTTGAGCTTTCAGCCTTCTGACTGCAAGGTTTGGTCTAATCAGAATCTGAAAATTATCAGCCAGTGTCTATTCTATCTTCCAACAGTTGACTAAATCAAGAATCAGTTAAATATATAAGAAACAGTGCATAGATTTCTAATAATTCTAATTACATGTGAAGCGCATGAATGATTATGCTAGTGTTGGCTTAGCCCCATGGAGGGCTTTGAAAAATATAAAAGATGTGCGTTTTGAGGAATCTATTGGATTACCAGCTTCCCCCCCTCAGAAGTTTTAAATGTGAAACAGTATTACATTCCCTTTCTCCCTTATCAGTCCTTCATAACTTCACTGAAGCTGATCAATTATTTAACCTTGCTCATTCAATGTCAAATGAGAAGCCTGATTATATATATTTTGTAATAAAGCTGTCGATACTTTTAAAACCACTCTTGATAGCTAAAAGTTTAGAGGAAAAAAAAAAGATGTTGCATGCACTCTATAAATGAGAAGAAAGTATAAACAGTACTTAGATCCCAATAGTACTTAGTGTATTTTCTACACTGATACATGTGCTTCCATCAAATCCTTTTCAAGTGTCTCCTTTTATTCATAAGGAGAAAGAAGAGTAGTTATAAAGTTAGGTCCAAAAGGATGCTTAAGAAACCTAGACAAGAGATGCCAGGTCAAACTGGGGGAAGGCTGGCCTTCGTGTGTGTCTCTAGGCAGTGCTGCTCCTTTATCTGTGGCAGCTTTAAACATAGAGGACTCACCAGAGTCTAAGAAAATGAGAAAGTTTATCTTTGGCACTTCTGAACCTCTTCCTGACTTCTTTCCCCTTGTTCCCTAATGTACCCAGTATCCTGCTATTGTCTTTTCCCAAGATACATCTCCCTTTTAATAACTAAAAGCTTGATTGTTTGAGTATGTAGTAGCATTTCTTAAAATGAGATCATCAGAGCAATCTTTTAATATAAAGCTGTAATGAAACAACTAAGTGAGGACAACTTTAAAGTATAGCTTTGTTAGCCAAAGGTGTATTTTATATTTGGATGGTAGAATATATCCAGAAATAGGGAAAGCCTACTATTTAGTAATTAAGTTAAAATGTAAATGTCATCACAGCATATCTTGATTTATGTCTTCGAGTGTGCTTTCATTGTACTTGGTTTTTGAAATTTGAGATCTGTCGTAGTCATATGTCATCACGGGGACTTCCAGAGAGGTTAATTCTATTTCTCTTACTATACTTCACACTCCTTGAAAACGTACTTTCTATTCCTGGTACATCAGTTTCTCACAAAATACTTACCTTGCATCTTTCAAGAGAAAATATTTGTTGAAAAAAGTAAGGACAGGATTCTTACCATTTTGAACTCAAAAGTCCCAGAGGGCCCACATTATAACTCAGATTTTAGACCTACTCTTCCATCCTGCAAGGCCATATTAGCAAGTACCTGTTAGACACCTACATCTTAAGCATTTTAAGCTTTGCATGTCTAAAACGCAATTTCTTTTCATTCAGATCTGTATATTTTCTTCTGCAATGGAGAAACACTATTCTTGGCTCCAGAATCTGCTTCCAAGTCTCAACAAGACCCTCTACAACTGCCCTCATGTCCTTTTCCATCTTCTTTGTCCTTCTATTGTTGCATCCACCCTAGCTCAAGTCCTTGTTACCTCTTCCCAGTGATGGGCATAACTTTTCTTCTAATTCCAATGCCTTTGTGTGGTCCCATTTAAACACTGCCAGACCCATCTTGTTAAGCATAGTTCTAATCTAGTTTCATTCCTGCTCTTTACAACCTTCACTGGCTTCCGAGTGGTTTGGCATGAACACTTTTGCTCAGGTATCATATGTGGCGGCTAACCCCTACCCTACCTCTGTTCACACCGTTTTGTCTTTTCTCATCCTCCCCCTACCCCATTTTTCTGCCTGTTTACCTAAGACTTCTCTATAACAGTTGATCCTAGCCTCTCCCCCTTCCTACAGATTAGATCTAGTCTCCTTCCTCTATGCTCCTGTAGCCTTTGGCTCCTAAACAGACTTTCTTATGGTGCTTATCACATTCTAGCCTTGAGAACAGTAACTGTATCTTGTTCCTTTGGGATTCCTCCTCACACCTGGCAGAGTGCCTTGCATTCACTGGACACTGTTGTGAATTAAATTAATTCAAATAATCTCTCACTCTTTTGAATGCCGCTAAAACACAAATATTCTGGAGCCTATGCCATTTTTAATGTTATTTTCTAATGGAAATTTTCTAGTTGGATTTTTTTAAGATAAAGGTAGTAGTAAATGTTCAAAAAGTCTCAATATCAAATTCCCCCCTGTTTTTGAGGGGGTGGTTAGGATGAATGGTGGCAACTTTCTTTTATATGGGTTCATCATATCATGTTAAGAACCAATCTTGAAATGCTATTTTTTCAAATGACATAGATTTATAGAAACACTTTTTACTTTAAAAATAATGTTTGTATCTTATTGTCCATATAGAGATATAGATCCTTTATAAATATTAGTGTAAATAATGTTATGTACTATATTTATACAAAATAAATGTACTAAATCTCCTTTCAGTATGATGATGTCTTTTAAATCATTTTAACCACACTGATCTGTTTTCCTGAATCATAATTAGGGGGAAGCTCTTTTTCACCAACAAAACATATTCCCCATTTGGATGGTTTCTACATCCAAATATTCTTGTGACCTAAGCAGATTAATTGCCTGAAAAGGGGATGACCCCAAGCATCACTATGGGTGTGCATATTAGGCACTGAGAATAGAGAAAAAGGTCTCAGATTACCTTTTTCCATTGGACCTATATGTAATATACTTTCTTAGCTTTCATCTTTGGGACAAACTTAAGGATTTGATCCCAGTCTGGGTGGATGGAGTAGCTGCTGTTCAGTTGCTAAGTCGTGTCCTCTCCCTGGGACTGGATGGACTAGAGCACGCTGGACTCCAGTCCTTTGCTATCTCCCTGAGTTTGCTCAAATTCATGTCCATTGAGTCGATAATGCCGTCCAACCATCTCACCCTCTGCTGGCCTTTCTATGTTTGCCTTTAGTCTTTCCCAGCATCAGGGTCTTTTCCAAAGAATCAGCTCTTCGCATTAAGTGTTCAAAGGACTGCAGTTTCAGCTTCAGCGTTGGTCCCTCCAATGAACATTTCAGGGTTGATTTCCTTTAGGACTCGACTTCACTGGATGGATGGATGGAGGGCTGCTTTAAAACCACCAATTACACAATAAATGATCCTAAAAGGAAGAGAGCGACT